AACACAGTGCCACGGTATTTGGGCAGAATAATCCCCACAGAAAAGAAGCACCACTAAATATATATATGTGCCTCAAATCCAGGTCATTTGTCTGCTGTGCTTCCTTTCCTTAGAACCTCTATTTAACCATCTCACAACTTATTCTTTTGGGATATGAAGCAAATTTCTGATGTGACCCATTTGAAGTCACTGGATTGCAATTCAATGATACCAGACCAGATTTAGAAATATACAGAAATTCAATCTGTAACTCAAGCGGAAATAGTAAATCAATAGCTATATCCCCATTTTAAAAATAAGACAACTAAAAATATGATCTATGCTAAACAGAGTAGGATGTGCTGAATAAAGTTCTAAAAAGGCGATCTCATACATCTCTTCATCCAAAACAAAATGTAAAATTAAATATTTTTCTTGCTCTACAGCGTGAAATTGCAGAAATGCAGAAACTTCTGCTTTCTAGCTAGGAGGGCAAATGGAATTAAACTATATTTAATTTCGAGGACACAAATGAAATCTATATAGAAGAGCATTTAAAAGTGAGAACAGGATGCACTTCTTTAAACAAAGAGTTGTGGGAGTCTGGCACAAGAAACTCAGTCGTGGAGCAGAAGCCACGTCCTTCTTTCAAGAAATGGCCGGATGAGACACTTGAATTAGCTACTAACTACCAAACAACACAGATATGTCCAATAACTGCCCGTTTCTAACCTCATGCTATGTCTTCCAATGTTAAAATTCAGGTAATTTCCCATTACAAACTTTTCAGTTTGCATATATTACATTAATACTATTATATGTGAGATTATATTGTAGCGCCACACGGGGTGCTTTAGCATGGTCACGCAAAGCGGGCTGAGAACAGTGGGACTACGGTACTGTATATAGTAGGGCAGAGGCTGGGAGACAGCCTCTTCCCTTCGTGTGTGTGTGTGTTAGTGAAAGTGCAGCACTATAACCCCTGTCCTTGTGTGTGTACTTTTCCTGTTTCAAGTTCAAGTTAATGAATGTGTTCAAACCTATTCCCTGAGTCCCATGCCTGCTCCATTCCGCACTGAAACCCAAATTCATTACAATATTTTGCTATGAATCAAGGCCAAATATTTACACTAAATGCAGAAGAGATGTGCTTTCACCTTCTCATGTCTCCTTCACAATCACTGCAAAATATCCCTTTACATCTGAGTTGGCATTCCTGCACTGGCTGCCTGTGAATTTCAGAAGATTTTGTTGTTGATTTTTAAATGTATTTGTGGAACTGCCCCTTCCTATCTCAAAGGACTGTTCCAACTCCAGACTTCATCCCAGAGTTCCAGGTCAACCTCCCATGACTCTGCATTCCAAAGACTAATCTGTCTTCTGTGGGAGACTGTGCTTTTTGTTCTAATAATAACAGTGATAATTAACTATTATCCACCTGGATGATGCAACAGTAACCATAGTAGCCAATACGCTCACTTTACATCAGCTATCAGTGGGGAGGAGAACAAAGTGAAGAAGCCATTTCATAAATGGGGATTATAAGGAGGCCATGACTGGTAAAGGCTGATGGGAAATTTGGCCAGGAAATGTAATGACCAAAGAAAGTCAGGACCTTGGTCTCATCTGAAGGACGGCAACATTTTACAGTATAGTGTCTCAGTCACTGGGACATTAGGACCCACAAAGAGGACCCATTAGGACCCACAGTAGGGTGAGTGCTCCCTACTGACCCCTCTAAGACCTCTTCCAGCAGCAACCTTAGTTTTTCCCAGGAGGTCTCCCATCCAGGTACTGGCAAGGCTCACACCTGCTGAGCTTCACTGGGCTGCCAGTTGTGAGTTGTAAGGTGATATAGTTCTCTGTCTCTGCAATAACTTGCCCCATGAAATTAAGTTCTTGGGATGCATTTAAATCAAGAGTAAAAACAAATCTGTACAAGAAAGCCATTGGTGAAACCTGGTTATATCCTGCTGTAGTATTGACTTTGATTTTTTATTTCTTGTATTGTTCTGTATTTTATGTTGTCTGATTTTATCCTGTTCATGTTGTTACATATATTCAATTTTATTGTACTGCACTTTGTGATTAACCTATGAAAAGTGCACTACTGTATAATTAAAATTAATTGTATAATATATATATATACACATTTCCAATGTCAGTAGCTTCAGTACAGGTAGCAAGGGAGATATTCTGTCAAATTCAGGTAGAAGAAGTACCACTACTTTAAGACTGCAGAGTGTTTGGGGTGTGGGGAGGGTCCAATTGTCAATTCCCAAGTGATCTTTAAGTGCTTGTACTCCTTTTTTAAACTGCTTAGGTGTGACCAGAATTTATGCAACGTTCAGGTTGCAGCTGAGCTACTATCTACCCACTTTACCATCTAATTTAATAAGCCCACAAAAAGGCTTCATAATGAAAGTACTGAAAAATGAACGAAATAATTGCACGGCTAAAAGCTCTTGCAAAAGACAAATAAACCTGTGGGCCTTCAGATGAGTAAAATTGGTTTTGTAAGATGTCTCCTTTGCATTTTGACAAATGGCCAAATGCAAATATGCATTTATGTTGTTTTGGGTAGCATTGAAAAACAGTTGTTTCAGACTCAAGACTGTCAGCAAACAAAATATATGAATAAATAAGAAATATATAAATTGTTATAATCCCCATATGCAGGTAATTTGCCCTAGGGCTAAAACAGTACTATTGGCTGCTCACTTTTTTATTTATTTCTGGCTACAAAAGAGAATCCATGCAAAGAACAGAAACCAGTATTCTATCGTCCAATCAAACCAACAAGACCCCCTTTGGAACAACACACAGAATAGGTTTGCAATGCAAACAGCTCTCATCTTTCTACATGATCTGGCCAGTCCAACTGTTCCTGAAGTTGATAAGCAGATCTACAATTTTGTCTCAACCATAGTACTTGGAAAACCAGACTTCATCGTACCTCTTACCAAATCAAAGTATCTGGATTAATGTATTTTCCAAATGTGACTCTGCTGCATCAAACCAGGTGCTAACATTCAGTCATGGGCTATATCCCTATAATGTTTAGAGACCTAAAGAGCTTTCTGCCCTCCACTGAAAGCTCCGGATTCAAACATCTGGCTTCGTTTCATACCTGATCTTCCATTTCACAAACTATAACTTGGGGTAAGCATTTTTGTGGATTTTGCTTGACACTGCAATTTACCAGGGGAAATAAGCAGGCTTCACAATGATCAACGCCTATAGCCAGTAAGATCAGCTACATCAATGAAGTCTTTTTAACATGCTCTAGGGGAAGTCAGAACTGATCCCTTCCTACTGGTCATTGCTGTGTAATTTTACTTTTTATTTCCAATATATCTGGGTTACACACCAGTTTCACAATAAAAGTAAGAAAACGAGACACACTTAGCAGGTAAACTATTAAGTTTTTAAAGCTTGGCAACCATTTCTGATCTACTTTGGGTCACACTTCTACACCCTAGATAGACCTCAATCTCTCACTAATTGGCTAATCAGATGATAGTGAGGACTGGCCTTCTGTTTGTTTTTGCTTCCTAGAGATTGTTTAGTACAATTAATATGTTGCTATTGGTACTTTTGGTGTCTTCTGTGTCTCTTTCCTGGAGATGTCCTTCTTTTTGAGGGATGTTTTGGGAGGGCCATGAGAAGGGGATTATAAATTCTCTATTTTCTTTTGTTTAATACATTCCCCATCTACAGCGAAACAACCTACCAACAATTTACATATGAAGGTAATGTTACAGGACATGTCAACTATACAGCATGTACTTTTGTTGATGTAAAATGCAATAAAAATCATTGTAAAAAAAGAATTTTTAAAAGGGTATTGCCACACCTTTGCCATTTTTGGCTACTTTTATTGTTGGATCTTGTCAACTAAGTAGCTTGTAAAAAGGGGGTTATTCCTATTCTATGATCTTTCTTGAATGCATTTTTTTTAATTAATGAGGCAGAGTTAATGACCTCTCACAAGAAACACACTTAAACAACACAGCAGCCTTTTTTATCAAGATCCCCATACTTTCCGTAGACACGCACAAAATAGGAAAGTGTTATTTTCACTTTTTAGCATCTTACAATATGGTTCTTTTAACAGATGACTAAACCAATCTGCATGCAGCATTTCAGAGTTCTGTTTTGGTTTTGAAACGGTTACGTGGCGATTCAGATGTCAGATGAGCAGCTAACCTCATAGATTTAATATCCTCAAAACTGGGATCAGTGGAGTGTTAGCTGTACAGCTACCATTTTCACACGTCTCAATGAACATTTTAAAACTTTAATTCCAATGAATCTGAGTATTTTCCACATGAACTCAGGTACACAGCTTAATTCTGTAGTTAAATAATTAGACCAGCTATTAGTTTCCAACCAGACTCTGGTGTGTTTTGTAGATACCTGTACATTTAAGGATGTAAATGTTTTGTGACCAATTTTTAAAAAAGCTTAAGAAAATAATCTACATTGTTTGACTACTAGGGTTGAAACAAAAACCAGAACACAATGGGCCTTTGAAAAATTAATTAAGTCCAGATTAAATTATTCATTATACATTTCTTTACATTAGTACGTTTAAGTGCCTTGGGGCAACCTTGTTTTGAAAGGCGCTATATGAAATCAAAACTGAGTTAAATAAATTGAATTGAGTTTACTAATGTGCACTAGTGTGATACAAATATAAAAGTAAAACCTGACATTTAAACTATCAACTTCAAAATTGGCCATTTCTATTATTAGGGCATATTGACAGGTGAAAACTTTTGTCAACTTTTCAAAACAAAAGTATAAGATACTGAATGCAATGAGAGACGTCTTCAGCAATTCGCCTAAAGGCAAGTGTTAGTTTTTTTTTATTCCCCTCCAGAAAAACAGGCAATGCACTACTGAACTGTAATCATCTGAAAATAACTGTACTTATTTCAAGGAGAAGGCAAAGCGTAGCACAATGCAACTGCCGAGTCTTACTGTAACTACACTCGGTAAATATCGGGTTGACTCACCTCGCTGTTGTGGCCTCTTAAATTGAAGTTAATTCTCTGCGGGGTGCTCCTGTCCCGCCTGCAGTGACTGGAGGTGAAGGTCACTCCAACCACACCTCTGCCGTTGCCTGTTGCAAGCCACCCTTCCTCGTAGTATCGCCTCCGGCACACCGGTTTCTCCTTCTCGCTCTTGGGCACCCGGCCCTTCCAGGACAGGCACAAGACGTTGGAGTCGCTGCAGAGGACGGGACCATGTTCCACTGCCGCAAACATCGCTCCTGGCGGGCAGCACCTCGGACAGGGATCGTGCTGGCGGGCGGCTTTTCGCTTCGGATGCCTCCTTCAGAGGAGCAGCGCTAGGATGACTGGCGACGATTCTTTAAGTGCTCTTGAAGAGGGGAGCTGCATCAATACTAAGCGAAGGGAGCCAATGCATAGTAAAAAGGTTAAATTCTTCCGAGAACGAAGGACAGAATTATCTGACAGGATTTGGATTTCAGCGAGGAAACCTAACTTTTTCGCAAAAGCACAGGTTTGTCTAAAGTAAGACCAACCTCGTGCCTTTTGCAACACGCACCCTTTTAAAAGTTCAAAAGCGCCTGAGTATCCTTTGAAGATTAAAACACAAAAAAATGCTTTATCTTAAAGGACATTCGACTACTAAAATTGCATAAATAAAAAGGCACGCAAACTATGGAGCTCCTTGTAGTGGATACTTGCAATTCCCGTATTGTTAATTTTTAACCACGGATCACAGACGTCCCCGTTTCAAGGAAATTCAACACTCAACAATTCTGCAGAGTCAAATATCTAGTATAAGACTAAACCAATGTTTTTAATTTAAATGAGCGAGCAAGTGTTCCGATTGTTTAAATCCCTCGTTTATAAGAAGTTTACAGCTGGTCTCCCTTGGCCACGCTAGATCCAGACAGCCCGCATCCACACTGCAGGTCGGGATGTGAGCGACTCGGGTCCAGCTTCACCTCTGCGGCGGCGCCGTTCCGGGATCTCAGCTTCAAGTTCGCTCGAAAACGTCAATGTGACACGGTCGATAAATTAAGCCAGCCTGATGTCAGCTCTGTGCATCCTATACAGGAGAAGCTTGAAGGATCTTCACTTTCTCGACCTGACGTGTGCCATCATCCTGCTCTTCAAACTGTCCCCCAGATTTCCTTTCTCGCATCACAGGAAACAGCATCTCAACACTTCCAGCGCGCTATATAACCAAGTGCCGTTTAGTCTTCGCGAAAGCCAGGATAAGCTTCCAAAAAAAAAACAAGTTCGTTTAAACTTAAGCGATTTGGCGAGGTAAGAACAGCCTTCGGGTTCCACAATGATTTCGGCGTTTAAAGGAAACCGTATGTGGCCGAATTTGGGACAGGCATGTCACCTCTCCAGATAGCACGATTGCACCCCTGTGGAGCTGCGTGATCTACGCGTCTCCAATTCTCTATCAACTGGCCATCCGCAGGAGCGTCTCTTCTCCCGGCAACGTCATTGCGTCACCGCGCCAGCCGCCAATCAGAGTCGGGAATCCCCGGGAACAGCCAAGGGTCTCTATGACAAGAGAGGAGCGTAAGTTAAGGTCTCCGTGGACTGGAGCCAGAACAGCTTATGCCCAGCTGTTTTAAGCTTAATGAAGATACACTGACAAACGTCGACGTTGGAACAAATCTTCATACCATGCAATCCAATAATTTTAAGCATGTTTACATCTAGTCATATATTTTGTTTTGCATAGTGGTATATCATATTTAAAACCTAAAACATAAACCACCATCTACCACATCTGTCCAGCAATTTAGGTTTTTGTTTTGTTTCAGGTTTAACGATTTAGATTTTCATATATTTCTTTTTTAACGCACCAAATTATTGGCAGCTCACAATGACAAAGTAAACACCCAATTTCAACATCTTGCCCATAAAGAATGCGAGTGGTTAAACACAATAATCAAAAGTAAAATAACACTGCACCCTTGAGAAAGAGCTATCAGGTAAGTCACGCTGTGCACTGGATCGTGTTTAACAAAACATAACACAAATTGAATACCACGCGTTCTGAGATAAATGCGGTTATGAAGTCTTTTCTCGTCCCCGAAAATAAATCCGCAACGAATGCTAGAGAAGACAGCAACAAAACCCCTTAAATTCAGAAAGTTCAAAAGGCTATAACATTGCAGTGCTCACGTGAAATAAAAAACACTAGTATCTTCTAGCAAACCATAAAGGTTTTCTGAGAGCAAAAGCAGGCAGACAGCCCTCCTAAAAGACATATCCTGTAAATCTGATACATAACCTGTTATACACGGACATGTCGAATTTCACGCTAGACTCACAAACAGCAAAACTTAATTAATTTTCTTAATTTCATGAACCCATTGTATAACATTAAACCACAACGATTCAGTAATACAGAAACCCAGAACACACCTGTAATAAAGCCTGATTCGATAGCCCGCACAGCTCGTGTTCCAATTAATTCTACACCTTCGAAAAATGAAATTGACACTAATACTAACAATAAACATGCTAACAAAAAGTCGATTGAATTACATACATCAATAGTAGCTGCCACAGTCCATCATTTCGCACACAATGGGTATGTGAATTACAGACAGCCCCGATTTTCTATTTTCGCGTCATTACACGATATTTTGTAAATCATCAGAAAAGTCACGCTCATGTAAAATCTAAAATGACATAAATAATACTGCAGGCCAAATAAAATCGTGCAAACCTCACTTTTTTTGCAAATATTTCTGGGGATTTCTGTATGTAACAATCAACCTATCTTACCTCCTGTGTGTTGGTGCCACTCTGCTGGGCCCCACTCCAGTGTCACGTGATTGTCACATGACTCGGGTTGCCATCCCATCCCCCCCCAAGTCCTGTCTGCACCATCGAGGCTTCGAGCACACCGAAGCGCGGAGAGTGCATCTCAATTTGATCGAAGGCTCCCATCTTCTTTCAATGAAGTGTTTTAGAATTTTCTTCAGTTATTGTGATTCTTTTTTCATGTTGGCTTTTTTGCAAGTGATGTCGAAATTTTGTCGTACATACTACTGTTATGTAATATCTAAAATATTCGTTTGTTTAAATCAAAACTAAGAAGCAGGATTCTGTAGTTTATGACTATAAATACGCTAGTACTGTGTCTCTAAACTGTCCTAGAAGTGACATTTTGCACACCTACTGCTATTTCACAGTCTCGGCATTCCAAGTTGTTATATTAATTATTCTCATTATTTGTTATGGGAATCAATATTCAGATTTTTTTGCCTTTTATTGTAGTATCACCCATCCATTGTCTAACCACTTTATCCAATACATACAGTAGCAGTTGGGGAGCCTGAACCTGTCCTGGCAAGCAACAGGTGCAAGGCAGGATACATACTGGACAGGACCCCAGTCCATTGCAGGGAACACATGGACACAAACATACAACAGGGCCAATTTTCACATTCACTAATTAATAATAATTCCTTATACATATATAGTGCTTTTCTGAACACTCCACTCAAAGTGCTTTACAGGTAATGGGGACTCCCCTCCACCACCCCAAGTGTGCAGCCATAGTGCACCATAATGCTCACCACACACCAGCTATCAGTGGGGAGGAGAGCAGATTGATGAAGCCAATTCATAGATGGGGATAATTAAGAGGCTGTGATTGGTAAAGGCCAATAGGAAATTTGGCAGGGACACCAGGGTACCACCCCTACTCTTTTCAAGAACTGCTCTGGGATTTCCACAGTTAGGACCGCAGTTTTACATCATCTGAAAGACAGCACCTTTTCACAGTATAGTGTCCCTGTCACTATACTGGGGCATTAGGACCCAAACAGACCACAGGGTGAGCACCCCCTGCTGGTCCCTCTAACACCTCTTCCTCTTCAACCTTAGTTTTTCCCAGGAGGTCTCCCATCCAGGTACTGGACAGGCTCACACCTAATTAGCTTCAGTGGGCTGCCAGCTGTGAGTTGCAGGGTGATATGGCTGCTGGTAAATTGACCTATCAGTATGTCTTTGGACTGTGGGGAGGAAACCAATGGAAACACAGTGAGAACATACAAACTCCATGTAGATAGCACCCCAGGAATTGAACCTAGGGCCCCAGCACTGTGAGATAGCAATGCTGACCACTACATCACAATAACAGTTAATGCAGAAAAGTCAGCATACAGCACATTTTCAAATATGCAAGATGTTCAACAACTTTCATAGATTTAGTGTAACTGTGGCCTTCTCAACTTTTCAATGTAAATTTTACTTTAAAATAAAAATTCAATTCTAGTTTTGTAATTCTATATTCTTTGTAATACTTAATAGTCAGGGACACATTTTATCATGCAGTGAATAAGTATCAAAATCTAAGATTAAATGAGAGGTTAAAGTACTTTGTAATATCTTTTAAGGATATATATTATGACTTCCAAACACCATTAAGAGATAATCAATTAAAAATTAAAGTGTTTCAGTTTTACTGCTCTGATATTAAGGTATGCTAGTGGTTCTATATTGTTCTAGAAAACCTTTTTTATATAGTACAACTATAACAAATGCCTTCAGCTTGCACATGCTGTGTATGCTCTGATAGGAGTTGTATGCAGGAAACCACATCAGATCCATCAAAATTGTTCATGGGAAAACATCTCCTGGTTCCATATGACACACAGTGCACCAGAGCACATGCACATGAGTTACAGCCCAACACAGCTACGGAAATAAAATAATGTCTAGCAAAAAAAAATCCCGAACTACAGGAGATGAATGTGTAGGTTTTATCCTATTTATGGAATCTAGTGAAGTATTTGTAAATATTTTCATATTAAAACGTAAACTACCTGAAAAAATATAACCTTTTCTAGAATGTTTAAATGTTTGTGGACCTAGTCAACATTTCTCCAGTTAATATAAAATAAACTTTTTTTTTTCACAAGAGCATCAAGTTTTCTTTTATCAGAACAGCAGATTACAATGATTCCCCAGCCATCCAGCTACTATAATGGTGGATGTTCATGATCAACTACTATAATCAGTATTTGTTAAATATAGTACCTAGGATATTTTCACCACAAGTGACAAAAGAAGAAATAAATATTATTCATGTTTTAGATATTGATTTCAAATGCATTTTCATGATCTCTCATACCATAATTTAAGCAACCCTACATCTGATTGCAGTAAATTCATTTTGAATCAACTACATAACACAAGAGTTGTCTTTAATGCACTGTTAAGAAAACAATTAACCACTGCCCCACAATATGTAGAAAAGTCAATACACAATTTCAAGCATGCAACATGTTGAAAAACATTTGTAGATTCAGTGTAACTGGTTGTGGTCTTCTCAATTTTTCAATATATGAACTTTTTACTTTAAATTAACTATAAATTCTAATCCCACAATTCTTTATAGTTGGGCACACATTTTGGTATGTAGTAAATAAGAATGTGAATTCATTAAGAACCAACTAAATAATGCACAGTTGTCCTTTAATGTATTGCTAAGAAAACTGAAAGCCCTTGAACATCTAAATATTAACTGAACCCCAAAATATGTGGGACAATGCTTCCTCCATTACAGCAATCAAGGATTTTTCTTTATTCCTGAAACAAAATTTTACCATCCCCAAATATTTACAATTTCACTTTTACAATATCTGAGGTATACCTTTATAATTTGTATGAGTTGTACAATGAAAAAAAATACAAAAGTTCATATTATAATGTGGACACATTGTATAGAGCACACTTAATAAAACAAGGGTGTAAGTTGTTTGTGCTGAACATGGTCTTCCATTTACATCTCCATGTTGCTTTATTTCTGAGTAATAGGAAACGAGTTCTGGTCCATTAACTCTCCCACTCTCTCCTGTAGGATTTGAACTACTTCTGCTAAAATGAAGACGTGCGTGTCATCCAGGTCTTGAATGATGAATTTCTTCCCCAGAGCAGAAGTTTCATCCAAATACAGAAGAAACTGCTTCATGGCAGGATCACTACATTAAAACAAATACAAATACAAATACAAATTTTAGAAAATGCAGGAATCTGACAACATACAGAGTGACTCTGAAAAAGTACTTGCTTTCTTTGAAGATTTTAGGTTACCTGTGTTTAGTTTTCTTCTCCTAAAATATTATAGATCAATAGTTGAAAACATTAGTAATATGATTTTACAATCTTGGACATTTTCTAATTATTGTACTGTATGTTTAAATTGTCACTACACACAAACCTTTTTAGCAGCTGCAGTTCACATGGAGCTCAGAATAGGAATGAGAAATGCCTGGATTTCATGAGTAAATTTCAAACAGTAAAAGTTGCCCAATGCACATTTAATGACAATTAGCCTATATCATTATTACACAATACTACAATTTGAAGCAAAATTATTGGAGACCCATTAACTGCAAATGCATCACCTCACTTAACCTCATTTCTTTTAAAAAATGGTTTTACTAAAAGCATTACAAATATTTATCCTACTACCTCATTAAATATCCTGAGCATAGCATCCTTAAGTTGAACACTAAAGTATCTTGAGAATGACTACAATCGATAAAATCCAAATTTTAGCCACAGAAATAAGATAAAAAGCAAAGTGTTTTAAACTCTTTAAAATTTATTTTACAAATAAGGAAGTAAAGGCACAGGGATATTTTTGAAATACAGTTAAGTTCTTTTGATGTACATACCATTCAACAAGAACTCCTTTCATAACATTCACCATTTTTCTACTTGTAGCTGTCCCACCTCAGAGACTCGTGATATGCACCTAGAGAAAGGTAAGTTGAAAACCAGGATAACTCTACAGTATCAATGATATGAAATAATGACCTCGTGTTCATTGTTCTGTACTGCCGTTATATATTACTGTGCTTTGTTGTACTGTCATGTTATCATTTACTATACTGTGAAGTACTGTGCACACTATGTGAAAATGTTGTCTTTTGTACTGTACTCGTCCTTAGAAAACCGAGCGAAAACGAATCCCAATGTACATATGGCGAATAAACTCCTCTCTCACACACACTTATGCATTTTAATGGTTATGCATGCATTCTTTTCGAAATTTATAACACATACAAACATGGTAATTGTTGTATCAGAGGAATTAATTATAAACAGCATTTAGATTAACTAACGCCATTAAAAACACCATCATTACTATTGAACAACCTATTTGTGTGGGTTTTACTACCAATACTAATGCACAGTATTAGACTGAAATACTTCTAGACATGCCAAAGAGCACAATGAGCTGCTGTATAGCTACGTGTAAAGGTTGTTAGTCAAGTTTCGTAAAAGCTTCACTGGAGCTGGATTATTTCTTTAATTATAATACAAAAATACACAGTCCTAAAGGCGTGCTAAGCAGAAATGCTAAACGATTTAGCTGTACTAAAGTTCCGTAAATAGTTTTTTTTTTAATATCGAGAGGGTGAATAAGTGAAAACTCACCTCTGTAAAGCTACAAATCTCTAAATTTCAAAGCAGTGTACCCGTGCGTTTGCTAATATAACAGCAGCCGGTTACTTAAAAACAACCATGCGAAAAGCATTGTGGTACAGGATTTGTGGACGGAAAGCTAAACAGGACAAGATAGACTGCATTTAAAGGCGCAGTACACAACCCATTGAAATTGTCATGACCGTTTTGCCTGGTTTCGCGTAAGAAAAGGAACTTTGTTAAATTCTTCTGTTTCAAGAAGTAGTCTCAAGCTTTTATCTTCGAAAGGAATACTTAACGTTTCTCTTTTTAAAATTGTCTTTATCTCTCCACATTAACAATGCCATATGACATTCTCCGGATAAACCTCAGGTTCTTTAAGTACACCGTCGAGCCTTAAAAGACCTTAAAATTGGATTGCATCTTCTTTATTTACTATTTGAACTATGCTGCGATCTCTGAAAGTATTTTAACAACAAAGTTAAACCTTTGATTATTTGTTTCTTTACAGTCAATCGATTTGTGATCGTGAGATTAATATGAATAAATAAAATGTTATTTTGGGTGCATGCATAACATGATATTCATTATATCAAAACATATCTAAAACATATTTTGTGTTCTTCCAAGTGATCATAAGTATTGTCATATACACAATAAGCACTTTTTAGAATGTGAAAGTCAGTAGTTTTTTTTACATCTTAGAATGTGCCATCATTTGAGATGCGTACCTGCGGCCAAAGTAAATTCCTGGCTAACATTATCAAGTAATCTTTAACAACCAAGTAGTCAGGAAATTAGTTCAGTGTCTTATCTGGAGGGCAACATTACATACAGCTGTTTCCCTGGTCACCATGTTGGGGTGCGGCAGGTTTGGAAACTTTGGTACAGAGGATTGACATCTTATCCATTAACACCACTTACAGCAGCAAACTGTTTTCCTTGGAGACTGGCCATCCACTACAGATCATACAGTGGTGTGTAATCAATGGATCCACAGCATCCTAGTAGATTACTAGAGAGGATCTTTGGTGTGTTTTTGGTACACTGTAGAAGAGCAGTGTCCTTACAGATCTATACAAGTATACCAGTTTTCACAACACATGCTAATGAAGTCACAGTGGGTATTATTATTATTATTATTAATTATAATTCAAATCCTTACTTTAAGCATTAATATTATACACATTGATAATCTCACCCACAAAGTGTGTGGGGAGGGGTTGTTGGCCTTCTCTTGTTAAACAGCCTATATCTTTGTGTAAGGGGCTTGTTGTCTCATTTATTGGTGGATTTTCATAAAACAAAGTTTCAATTGTATTATAAAATAACAGAGAGACACAGTCAATAGATCATTCAAAATTAATCTTATCTGCAAATACAGACAGGAAATGTTTACGGATGATGTTCACATAGTATATACTGTAATTGGAACGGCTTTCACAGGATTCCATGTAAGTAGGTACAAGGCCGACATTTAAAGAATAAGAATATTCTAAAGGAGAAAGCAACATTAAGAGACAAAGTATTAATAACCACACAGTTAATGTTAAAAGTTAATAACCACACAACTCCAAAAATGTAAATACAAATGCAAAAAATGTTTTTATAATATGGCATTCAAATATCATGTGATATTCTTTGAATATAAAGTGCAATGGAATTATACTTCTGAATATTTATTTGAGATCTGGTACCAGGGTTTGTAAACATGGGTTAAATATATTTCTTATCATTTATAATAATAATTTATTTAGTTTTTCCGCAATGCAAATTAATTTGCATTTCTGTGCAATGACATTTTAAGATTATTCATGAATAATCTATTTTACAACAGAAACAGTAAACTTAGTATCTTTTACAAATATTTAGTTCATGTAAAAGTAAAGACCTTCTATAATAAAAAATATACAGTATATATCACCTGAAGATTATAACTTTTATGTTCTTGTACACAGACCACTGCTCTATTTTTCCTGCTCAATGAAACAGTAAACTCTTGGTAATTTATGTATCCATGTCTGAGGCTTAATTAACACTGACATATACAGTATGCTATTAAAAATGCAAACACTACAAAACTCTTAGTTTCTTTTCCTTTGTTATCAAACTTTCATAACATGCAGTATGTTCTGTTGAATACTAATGTTATAGATCTGCTTTCAGTAACAAAATATTACGAAATCTTTATTTATACATATGCAATATGGCAAAATAATGTCAGGTTTTTAAAAGCTGGATTTGAGTTTTAATTTTAGGATATGAACACTTGGGGAAGGTGCTTTCAATATATTGTCCGTATTGACAGTAATACGTTTTTATTAATTGTTAATGTGGCTTTCCAGTGCATCTCTGATGAACTGTAAACTGCGCTTGTAAAGGAAAGAATCCTTTTTCTGGGGTTTGCAGATATTTAGATGATCGACATCCACTTGAATGAGGTCGCCAATCCCCAGATCTGAAAAATTAATGGTAAACATGATTAAACGTTACATCAAAAATAATCAAGTGCTACGGTTTCCTGAACAAATGAAAAGAAATTCACAATATACAATCCCATGTGTTTTGGCTTGTGCTGCTTAATTTAAGTTATTATTAATTTCCCTTAATATACTGTATCTATTTTACCTCCCCGCAGGAGCCTAAGCACATACCTGCAGACTGCACTGGCACGACATGCATCTTCACCATAGGACCGATGCTGGTGGGTAGTGTTTCTGCAAAGCTTAGTATCTTGAACTTCCTTTCCTTGGCCATGCACAGAAAGCGTTCATTTAGTTCATTAAGTGCAGGGGAATCTGAAAAATGTGAAAAGATGTATTATGGATAGAAAAATGGTCATGTTTACTTAGAATTAAAATGGAATTGAAATTCCATTATCTTAGAATTAAAATATGCCACTGAGATGCTGTAAACATGGCTTTGACATATTAAAAGGTAATTTCCGTGTTTCTAACAACAGAAAGGTGTTCCCCTTTTAAAACATCAAACGTTTTCAACAGCTAGCAGTTGAGAGAATAACACATAAATCGTTACTATTAGTCTTAGGAAAAAAAACAACCAGGGCAGTGTTTGCATACATCATAACAAGAGGCATGCAGTATGTTTTATACTTCTTGGCACTGTGAAAATATTAAACCTAAAAAACTAACTTGACTAAATCCAATCATAAAACAAAGTGAATAAAAACTTTACCGAAAACTTTAAGTGATCTTACCTTTGGAGAGCTCCTTGACTTCTACCGAAGGAAACAGCAAATATTTGACAGTGACTGAATACTCAGCAATAGAGGTTCCATGATGAGGAACACTATAGAACATGATTCCTTGTGTATTTTTAATTAAGGACTGCATGTCAGGGTCCTTTAAGGCATCAAGGAGCATCTGTTTGACCAGCAAACCTGTGAATATAAGGAAAAACATCTAAGGTTGAAAGAGAAACTTCTAAATTCAAACTTGTAAAATCAAACAGATTCAGTTTGAACATGCCATCCATACAGTAAAGGGTAGGAGATGCCCAGTTCAAAATAAATGATTCTTTTTACTTTACTTCCTTATGTTCTATTCTTTGGAGGAGAGGTTAAGTGCAAGGCCTATCATAAGTGTCATTGCAGGAGTAGCATAATTCACCCTGTAGTCTCTGTAAGTTGCCTTGCACCTTGTCATGGAAGAGAAAAAGTCCCCAGAAACTGGAAATTCTTTGATTAAAAGCATACTGTATAAGATATAAAAACTGTAAAACAGACCTTAAGCTAAATTACATCTAGTGATGCACTTATCATAAGCTAAGAGGAAATAAATCCTAAGAAGTCCTATGACACCAGCAGGAAGGATTCTCAATACCACATGTTGCATGACTTATCAGTACTGTATGTGTAGGGTGATTGTTCATGATCTTAGGAGATGCTGGCCAGCCCAGTTGGACCCCTACAGGACCTTGCATGAAGCAGACACCTAAGAGTTATGACACCTTTCCCTAGGATTCTTTCACACGACCTACGCGTGTTTGTAGCACTCACTACTTTTCAACTGAGAAGATAATTCTAACATGTCATGTTAGATGGTGTCTGGATGCAGATCTTATACAGTATAAAATTAAAAAATTGTGCCACATAGGCTTTGGATGCTACATATGTAGGTGAAAATTGGAGAACCTTTTTCTGGATTATATACTCAAGAAGGTGAGGATCTGGGGTAAAATTTGGAGAAATATAGTTGACATAATATCTTGTAGATATGCTGTAAAAGGAGAGATTTATCTGTTTGGTTGTATTTCTATGGAAAGCAAAGTGTTACCATTTGTTACCTAACTGATTTGACACAAAAACACAAAATTCTTGACCAGTCTTGACATTTTACTGGTCTCACATTTATTCTGATAGATGATAGCACTTGCCCCCATCATTCCAGCTGTTAAGCAGCACTTGCTGGCAAGGTCTCCAGCCTAAACTCTAACTGATCATGTCCAGGTCATATGAAATCATGCAATTGCCATTTATGTTGTTCAATTATGGATTCCAGATGAGCTCCAATTTGTTTTAGTATAGGAATGCAAATATTCTGACATATGATCAACTACATGGTACTGCAGAATTTTACTGATGCTACAAGTTACCAGACATGATGTTGTCAATTAACTGATTCACATATGAGGTGTTTAGTATATTTTGGTGAATTGACTGCAGCTGTTATGGATTTAGTAATCCACTATTAGCAGGAGTAAATATACATACATTCTACTGAATAAAAATGTATATTCCAATGAAAATAATGTTCATTAATTAAAACTTTATAAATTGTCTTGAGCACAAGAGATAAGCAGCTTTAAATCTCTTTAGTACAAAATCTAAAGTACAACTTATAAAATTACAGAGTGTCCGTGTCCTGCATTTTAGGAACCTCAGGGGCTTAACTTCCACAGACTTTCTGAATGTGTTGTAATGATGCAAAGATTAATTGGATTGTCTGACATCACTGATTCTCATCTTAAGACCCCCTGCTTCCTTCAGCTGAAAGCAGCAAAAGGCTCAAGACCACAGTCACTGAGTTTCCTCCATAAATACGACTATTTTAATTTTCATGAACTACTTGAACACAACCTGCTTACAATTCTAGATTGTAAAAATAATACACACACAAATCACAAAATCTTTCAAAAAAAACTGAGGAGATTGATAGGTTTACTATTATGCTAGTGATTTTACAATCCTAATACTGATCAAGATAGCACTCTGTGCTTTTTGACAAGAAAACAGGTGAAAACTTAAATCACAGGGCTTTTACAATTCAATAACACAAAACAGTGCTAGATTATGAAAAGGATTCCACTTCTGAACTTTTCCAAACAATTTAAATCTTACCTCCCATACTATGTGCCACCCAGACAATAGGTCTATCCCCAACACCAGCAGCCTTTAACTTTCTGAGAAGCTCAAGACTTCTGTAAGCCAGAGACTTTCTGCAAAAAGTAAAATAATGCACTGATCAGTTAATTTAGTATTAGTTCCTTATAAGATAAGATCATGGAATAAACTTTTACTTGTTCCTTATACGATCACTTTATTGGCCATATACAATTTCTTGTATTAGGAATTTGTCTTTTCGCATACCCCAACTTGCTCTCCATGAGACACACAGATACACAGACAGGGAGAGAGAAGCTTGGGGTCAGAGCGCAGGGTCAGATATTTATATGGAGCCTCTGGAGCAGTTGGGGTTAAGGGCCTTGCTCAGGGGCCCAGCGGAGTAGGAATCCTTTTGCCAGCCACGGGATACGAACCAGCAACCTTCCAGCCACAGGCGCAGATCCTTAGCCACAGAGCCACTGCAAAGCCTGTAGAATTACTGTACAGTAGTATTACTGTAATTCAAAGTTATGTTAATTATAACAACCTGGCTACCTACAATTACTGTAAGTCCAAATCAACATATTGGGTCAAGCACTAATCAAACTGGTCTGCAGAATAATTAATCAGCACAACAAGAGTTTGCTAATTATAAGACTTTATTCTCATAATGATAAACTGTTACAGCTTTGTATACTCTGAAACAGATATAAGAAGATGGTAAATCTTCTTGACAGACAATCCAAACAAGCATGAAAAGATATATATGTAAATTGTCAATGGGGCAGAAACTTCTAACGAAGGGACGTATGAATCAACTTTCTATTATATTGGAAACACTGAAGTGGATACAAAAATGAAGTGAAGATTTCTTGAAACATGGTTATGAAAAATGAAAGTGCTAAATTCGCACGATTATGCTGTGTGAGGATAATGTGTATGTGAATGTTTTATATAACTGATGGAAATATAAAGTATAATGAATTAAGAAAAGCATAGATAAAAACAGAGCTGTTGAATTTCATAAGAATTTGATGAAGTTTCATAATGGTGTTTGCATTGGGTGACCAATTAATTCCCCATCTAAGGGATTTCTCTTTATAAGGCAATGAGAAGGTTTCAGATTTTGAATTTGTACGTCTTCAATTACTGTAAATGTCTGCTGTAACCCCTATACTATTAGTACTGTAAGAGAGTTTAAATCTGAGATTGTCTTAGTTGCTCACTGTTTTTCTTCTGATTAAATTGTGCTACCATGTACAATTTTTATAATGAAAATTGTAATTCCTTCAAATAATCTGCGCACCTTTCTTTTTCAGCAGGACATGTTGCTCTCCAGTCACTTAGATGAGAGTCGTATTCCACTGACAGGACCCTGAGGTTTGGACAGTCAGCAGCCAGCCACGTCTAACATTTGAGGAAGAGACGGGGAACAGTAAGTCACCACTTACTTACTGTAATGGATGGCATGCTTCAGGGAAATGCCAGACAGGTGAAGCAAGAGTGCTTCATTAACAGCAATGAAGAAATGTACTGGAGAGGCAAGTGACAGACTAAAATGATCAAGTCTGTTCTTCTCAACCATCAGTTTGAATTAAGTATCTTAAATGTGTTTACTTGGCGTTTATATTCCAACTAAACAGCTGGAGGAGAATCCCTTTCTGAGAATGCTTTTGCCTTCAGCTGATTTATTTTAATAGAAAGCAATTATATAAACCTTCTAAATTGCTTTTTCTAGGTTTCCTTCAAGCCTTCAAACAATACACACCTCACTAAAAGGATGATTTGATTGACTGACTTTTGAGAAGAAAATAAAAACAGTTCTGATTTAATAAATTCATATTGTTTCCTTTGACGGTGAAGAAAAAATGATCAAATTTAAGCACAACTAAATTAAATATTAGAGTGTTCACTGACATGAATGAGAATATAAAACCAGGGCTCTGTTTGCTTACCAGCAAGAATGGTTCTCATACAGTATAGTCTTAGCAGCTATGTTCTTATATAAGCTAAAGGGAAGAAGCACTTCAGCTCTGATCTAATTTCAGACTTCCTCTAGAGGGTCTAAAAGCACATGGATGGGACACTACTGAACATGCGCTGCTGATTCTCTAGAGCTGTGAAATCTTTTGTGGCACATTTCCATTCTTATAGTTTTAGACTTTTTTCTCATTTATTTCCCCCACAATTATTCTATTCTAGTCTGGTCTGGTATTGTTATGATCCAGAGACCAGAGTCTCTAGTTAATTCGTTACTGCATTTTGCTTTGATTTATTGGAAACTTTGCCTTGATGCAACTGATAGATCTTATATAAATCGACTAATATAATGATGATAATGATTTATGATTTTAAGTGGGTGTCCCCATGGTGAGCACTGCTGCCTCACCACTCTTGGGTCCCAAGGTCATTTCTGTACCTGGGACACATTCTGAGTGGAGTCTCAGGTTTTCTCTAGGAGCTCCAGTCTTTGCCCCACAGTCCTAAAGACATGGTGCCCAAGTAAAACAGCATCTCTAAACAGCTCCCCTTATGTGTGAGTGTATGAGTGAATACGTACTGTATGCATGTGTCCCCTGCTATTAACTAGTTTCCTGTCCAGAGTGAAGTCTGACCAGTGGGACTGGGAAAGGCTATGGCTCACTGCAATCCGTAAAAGATATAGAGTCACTGAAAACAGATAATTAAGTCTAAGTTGTAGATGGATTACCCTCTTTTCATTTCAAATCACTGGTAGTAGCTTATAAGCAAACTCAAATTTAATTGTGATTTTGCAGGGGTTTGTTTTGCTAAATATTACCACCTTCCTCAGACTTCTCCCTAAAAAAAGCCTTTAAATCGCCGAGGAAGGTTACCTTTGGCCAGCATTCCGTGTAATCATCTTTCAAGCTCTCTGCTGCCACATCTCGTACAGGGACGTAGTCCTGCTGCCGCCACGTCTTAAAAGCTGCCCCCAACAGACCATGAATGAAGAGGACATCTGCTTTCATTGCCTGGCTGGAATGGGCAAGACACTTTGAGTGTGAAGCTCAGAAAGAGAAGCGGTGTCTTTCAGCACTGACGGACATTGAACCTCTAATGGTTGAAAGAGAGAGAGAACATTAATATCTGCAACATATCACAAAGGTTAAAGATGCATATTTTTTATATGTAGTTTATATTGGACTCTTTTATATGTAGTTACATATACAGTGGTGTGAAAAAGTGTTCCTGATTTCTTATTTTTTTGCATGTTTGTCACACTGAAATGTTTCAGATCATCAAACAAATTTAAATATTAGACAAAGATAACACAAGTAAACACAAAATTTTTTAATGAAGGTTTTTATTATCGAGGGAAAACAAAATCCAAACCTACATGGCCCTGTGTGAAAAAGTGAAAAAGGGCAAACACTTTTTCACACCACAGTAAATGTTACTTTGATCAGTTTTTAAGTATAGTTTTCATGTTGCAAACTTCACTTTTTATGATCAAGATTATAACAATGTATTATGTTACACTTATAAAAGCAAATTACTTGAAAAATTACTTAACGTAAGCCTGAAGAGCAACAAAGAGTACAGCTGTGAGCACCAAAATAAAGGAACTGAAATTCTCACTAAGACCCCAACAGGTGTGTACAAAGTTATTACAATCTCACCATGTAAATAGATTCAGACTAAGAAGAAAAGTTCCAGTAATCTCACCCTGTGCGACACTGTGGGTGTAAAATATACACACCATCCTTATACTTCTCCTGTACCACGTCCCTGTCCAGGTTAGCTAAGGCTCTGGCTGCATGAGAGGACTGCATGATATGTGAAGACTTCATTAATTCTGCCAGGACAGAAATCCAACCTGCATCACAGCATTAAAAAATAAAGAATGTTGGGTATTGATTTAGAATATCACAAAGTACTTTAGTAATCCTGTGAAGACTTTAAAAGAGCTTCTGTCATCTGTATTAGAGAATGCACTAAACATCTCATCCACCCAAATGAAACAAGTAAAAAAAAATCTTATCACAGGATGCCACCTTGTGTTCTCATAATAGTGGGTCAACTCATGACTACCGTGTGTAAAGCACCAAGGCTCCAGAGGAAAAGGACAGAAAACAAAGCATTACTTCATTTCTGTTGCTTCAATGCCATTCAAGAAGTCAATAATCAAAGTAACCATATATAATCTCGGTAACAAATACTGAAGCCCAAGCATATAAAGAAGTAAAATACAGGTCTAAAGTCTTTCATTAAGACCTTGCAGACAGCTGTTACTCACCTGACTGAACTATATCTGAGTGCACATTTGTACATAGAGCTAAGTTGCCTATGATGCGGACGATGTTCCTCTGGATTTTCTGCGAATTTCTGCGGAACTGGTACACCCTCTGTAAGAGCTGGAGACCTCCATTTGCGACAATTTTTTCACAATGACTAGGAACCTGTGAACAGAAACAGCTTCTGTCACCATGAATGCATGAAGATTCCACATACCACCCCAACTACAGTACAATCATGAACTACAATCATAAAAAGGACCATCAGTGCACTTAACAATTTAGCCTTCTTCAAAATCAAAGGATGTTGAAACCGTAAATAATGCAGAACAACAAATAATATTACAAATCCATTTAGGTAGAAATGGTAATTTTCTTGCAAATATTCCAAGTGAATAATGTTTTGTTACACAATATTTTCTATTTTTAAAATGGTCTTACCACTTAATAAGCCATATACAAAAACTATTACTGTGAAATTGATGCACTGTTTTGTTATCTGCTTATTGAATACACACAAAACTGTCTTCATTGTCAGAGCCTTTTTATTTATTTTTTTAGATCATACTATACATGTAAAATGAGCTGAGAAAATGATCCTGATTCAACACAATCAGGTTGAGGCAACCTTTCTGATTTAAGTGCAGAACCAAGAACATAAATGGTAATAACAGACATGCAGGAGCTGTAAATAATTCATGCAACACTGAATTTTATAAAAGCCTGTAGAGTATTAGGTTTGAGTGCGGAGCTGCGTCACTATGCTGGCTTGAAAGGAACAAGTAGATTTTAATTCCAGGTTAAAGAGTAGAAAGAACAAAATGGTTTTGGCTATTGAAAGCTCAATGTGTTTTTTATTGCAATCTACTTTTCTGCCTGGGAAATACTTGTTAACTGTTTTGATAAGTATCCTCTGTGTCAGATCATAATATATAATATATAAATAATATTCTATCAATTGCTGGGACTTAAATTAGGTAACCTTTAAAAGTAAAAATGTTTCACTATTTTACAAAGTTTCTTAAATTTGATACAGCAACAAAAATGTACAGCTTTATTCTCTCATCACAGTAATGTCATTACAATGATGAAATGTAGGAGCTTTCCAAGGTTCTCTCATTATTATTTCTCATCTCATTATTTTTGCAACATTTGTTTTTCAGAGCATTAAGGGAACAACAGATGCTGACTGCCAGCAGCTGTCTCAGTTTGTCTTCAATGGAGTAACTCTAAAAGGGTCCAAATCTAAATAATCTTCATTTCACTATCACTTCATTTCACTATTCACTTCATTTCTACTATCTACGCCCCAAAATCTTTAACCGGGTTATCAGGATTAAGTCGTTCGGCAAAAAGTGCACATTTAGAGAACAGCTATAATAGAGACTTTCATGTAAGCCCTTCTTTCATTTCCCATTCTCTCTGAAATTGACAAATGTATTTATTTAGCATTAAAACACAATAGTAACAAAGACTTTAATTTATCCCTCTTTCTCTCTGGCCACTACCTCAACAGAATCTGTTACCTTAGAGTGCTGCACCAAAGCTTCCACGCAGCAAGATTCCACTTTCTCTGAAGGCACCGACGTTAAGCTCTGAGCGTAAGGTAGCCCGTTGCCTCCGAAGCACCAAAGCCCCCCCTTAAGACACAAAAGAACATGCTGCAACCTGTGATTTTAAATGTGCTGCCACACTAGGCAATGAAATTACACAGCCGAGCAGATGTGAACGAAATCTAATCAAAGAGGAACATTTCTTTCTACTAGGTTCTGAGCTAGGCAAAACCAGAAAGAGAAGCTTCCATTTGAATATGCGATTATTGTTGATAACTTCTGTGGACAAATGTTCAATTAATAAGGCAACAATAAATTCATTTTTTTAAAATACTGTTGGCCTACTGTAATTACACATGAATGCAGTAAGATTACATATTACAGAATTATATTAATAAATAAGTATATGTGCACAGATTTGAAAATAATATTATAAACAACTGCTTGAATTAATTTCCTTGTGATATAAAGATATAAAGAATAAATAGATAAAACAAAATACATGATCAGTTAATAAGCATTACAACATTAGCAAAGCATGAAGCGAAGCAGCAAGGCAGGAAAATTAAGCCAAGCACACTAGTGGAACAAATACATGCACAGCTAGAGAGATGATGAAGATAACGTCATAGGAGTATGCAAGAAACCACAACAAACACAAAAATCAAAATCAATTCACTGTGAACTGTGAAAATAAAAGATGCCGACGGTGTTGTCACCTACTCTCTGGGCTGCCAGTGACTGACTGCTTTCCCTCAGTGCCAGAGAAGTGAGGTACTGCACGCACTGATCCACCTCAGACTGAGGCAGAGATGCCAGGAGCTGTCTTAGCTTGTCTTCTATGGAGTAACTCTAAAAGGATCCAAATCAAAACCAAGAAGTAATCTTCATTTCATTACCTACAGCCCAAAAGCCAACTTCAGAACAGCTTGAGACACAAAAAACCACACACAAAACACCTGCAATAAAATAAAAAGTTATTCCTTTTAATATTTAAGATATCTGAAAGTTCTCCTTATTCTGCCATTCCACTTGCCTTCGGTTTTAAAGTGAGACTTGCACCATATTTAATTTCACTTTCAGTGAATTTTTCAATAAAGGTGTGCAAAAAATGGTCAAGATCAACTGCTAATATGGTGTAGGAGCAGCCAGGGCTCTCAACGTGTGGAATATCGTTTAAATCCCCTGGGGACTATTGTTGTACCCAGCGTGTTTTCCCCAGCTTGCTCCAGTAAAATGCCCCGCTTCTTCTTCTTCTTTTTCACAGCCTTAGTCCCAGACTGTCCTGGGGTCAGCTGCTTTGGTTGCTCTTCTCCATTTGTCTCTGTCGAGCACATCTTCCTCACTCACTTCACATACCTCCATATCTTTTCTCACACAATCTATCCATCTCCTTATAGGCCTGCCTCTTCCTCTGTTACCTTCCACCTCAAATTCCATTACCCTCTTTGTTACTTCCTCAACGTCCCTCCTCATGATATGTCCATACCACCGTAACCTCGCCTCTCGCATCTTCTCAACCACATCCACCACCCTACATCGTCTACGGATTTCTTCATTTCTGATCTTATCCTTCATTGAAATCTGCAGAATCCATCTCAACATCCTCATTTCAGTTCTCTTCCCTCTTTCCAACTGCCAAGCATTCAGCTCCATATAGTAGTACAGGTCTAATCACAGTCTTGTACATTTTGCACTTTAACTTTCTGGGAATTTTCCTGTCACAGATTATTCCAGTTATTTCTCTCCACTTGTTCCATCCAGCTTTCACTCTTTGTTTTACTGCCTCCAGTGTTTCTCCTCCCTTTACCAGTTTTGATCCAAGGTATTTAAAGTCATCAACTTGTTTCAGTTTTCCTCCATTTGTCTCCTCAACATTGGTCATAGTATCTCTTCTTCTCTCCATTACCATTATTTCAGATTTTTCTGCATTCATTTTCAGTCCACCCTTTTCCAGACTCCTCTGCCATTTGAACACTTTCTCCTGTAGTTCTACTTCTGAGTCTGCCATCAGTGCCACATCATCAGCAAAGATGAGTTCCCAAGGCACTTCTGTTCTTACCTCCTCTGTCAGTGTGTCAATAATGTTTATGAAAAGGAAAGGACTTAGTGCTGATCCCGCTATGGGAACAATTTGAAAAAATGCAAGTTGCTTTGGATAAAAGTGTTAGCCAAACAAACAGGCCTGCCTAATTTCACTGCCCGTCAGACTTTGTTTTTAACCTAACCTAAAAAAAGATGTCTGAAGTCACAAACCAAAAATATGATTGAGCTGCTCTTGCGCTCTTATTGTTACTTCAAACTCAAATAAGAAATAATTTCTGACAAAGATTTCAGTCTGCAAAACTGGGTCTGGATCCAGGCACACCTGTGAATACAGCCCGGAAGAGAAGCTACTGCATCTTATTCACTGTATAAGACATTTTTACCCTGTAGTGTTTTCATTCTATTCATTCCCAAAATTCACATTTTGTCTGTTACACTGGGGATAAGTTTGTTAGCCTTCTCTTCTATGTAACTGCAACCTGTAATTTATTTTCTTAAATTTAATCAATGTTGTTAAAGGTCCCTTTTTCCTACTACTTACACATAATTTAGTGTCTGCACTTGCCTGTCTTTTGTTCTACTGGTCTTCCTTTGCATCACTTTAAGGGTTATCTAATAATTTTAGGACTTAAATGTTTTAGGATAAATTTTGTTTTCCTACCATTTCATATTCTTTCTCTGTAATATTTACTTTAGTTTGGTTTCTTCAAATTAGATTCCTGCATTGCGTGTAGTTATCCAGGAAATTACCCTAGTTTTTACATTAGTTTTCACTGTATACAATATATTAGCCCACACGTCACGTTGACTATGGTGACAGCCAGATTCCATAAAGAAATCAAGATCTGATCCTGCTATTTTACTTTCTCTAGCTTTGCTACTTGGTACTCAGGTTAAATGTAACGTTAGTCTCCACATGTGTGATAAATTTGTAATTTTTCCAACATATAAATGAAACATTCTCAATGATGCTCCTGAACCTGGACTCTCCTACCAGCTCAACATCCATATATAACACTGGGTCTGAAGCCATGGAAAAAAGTACTTTCAACTGCAAAGGAACAGAGCCAATGACACCAAAAAGGGACAGTATAATGCACCTAGTTTTTCCTTTAAAGCTTCTCAAAACAAATGGGGTAATAATCTTTTAGAACATAGTATTAATGTTCTCTATAGTATTGCAAAAGACTTCTGATGTGGCATTAAAATTGAATACATTTTGCAATCGTACCATTAAAAATAAGCCTGTTCTGTCCATTTTTTAGAACAACATGTACATACGGTGCATTGGAAAAGTACTCTGACCCTTGCAGAGTTTTTGCACGTTGGTGGTTTAAAGCTTGCAGTCATGACACTTTAAAGTAGCAATTAATGTTTGTTATGTACAGTACTCAACCTATTTCACAGAGCATGTAAATACAGCAGATGTTTAATCCATCCATACATTTTCCAATCGCTTTATGCAACACAAGGCTGCAGGTCAGCCAGAGCCTATCCTGGTAAGCAACAGGAGCATGACAGGATACATCCTGGACAGAATGCCAGCTTGGTTGTTAAATATGAAAGATCAATGGAAAAGCCACAATTGCTTAAATACTCAAACCACTTACTGTGAAAGTCCTAAATAAATGTAGGTAGACACAATTACCCCAATGAGACACAATTAGTTGAGTGCCTCATGTCTGTGTGCAATAATAATGGTTCTTATGATTTCACAATACAAATACCTGCTTCTGTGAGGATGTTTGGTCAAGTAGGAAATTCCAAGCAGAGACTCATGCACAACGGCTCAGAGCTTTCACAGCAAGTAAAGGATAAAGTTATTGAAACTTACAGATCAGGAGAAAAATATCTGCGTCTCTGAATATCCCCGTGAGCACAGGAAGCAAGTGGGAGGTGCATCTATCTTCCAAATTGACTACTGTGAGGCTACGGCTACAGTGTCTAATGGCCGAGATGGAAGAAAACGTACATCAGTCTGCAATATGCAGAACACTTAATAAAATTTTCCTGTATGGCAGGATGAAAAGAAAAAAATATTGTTAGAAATAAGCCATCTCAAAGCCTGCCTCGCAAACCAGTGGCAAAACGTCATATGGTCAGATGAGGTCAAACTGTAAACAACTGATCTGAATGACAACTAGTCAGGTTTATCGCAGACCCAGCACATCTCCCAGCCACTTAGCACTAATCTACAGTCGGCACTGAGATGGCAGCATCATGCTTTGGGCAGCCTTCCAGGGGATTAATGATCCAAAGCACTGGAGTGGTTTATGTCCTGAACTGAATCCTATTGGGTACCTCTGGAAAGACTTGAAAACTGCTGTCCGTAAGCAATCCCAAGCAGCTTGAAAGAGCGTCAGCAAACCTGCCAAGAGGAAAAGGCAAAATTGCACCAGACTAGTGTGCAAATCCAAAGCACTGGAGTGGTTTATGTCCTGAACTGAATCCTATTGGGTACCTCTGGAAAGACTTGAAAACTGCTGTCCGTAAGCAATCCCAAGCAGCTTGAAAGAGCGTCAGCAAACCTGCCAAGAGGAAAAGGCAAAATTGCACCAGACTAGTGTGCAAATTTATTTTTGATCATGAAAGAAGTTAAAATTTTGAACCAGGGTTAACATCTGGGATTGCAACAAAATGTTTAATGCATGTTCATGAACATAAAAAAGAAATTGGTTCTGATAAGGATATTACTGTCCAGTTGCAACTGAGGGAAATTTCCCTCCTGACCCGATCATGCCGGACATTATGTACAAATTATTTGAGATCATGGACAAGTCTTTCTATGACCAAAACTGAATCCTACCTCCACCTTCATACCCCAAACAAAACAGTGATGCAGAGAACAGAAACAGCCACTCCTGTTGTTATCCTTGTCTCACAACCTTGTCTCAGAGAAAGGTTCCCTCTGAGAACTGAGAGCTTTAAAACTTTGCTATCTTAGCACAATTTTTGGAAAAACATTTCCTTCTTGGGCACAGTGGCGCAGTGGATAGCACTACTGCCAAACAGCACTGGGGTCCCGCTTTCAATTCCCGGGCTGCTATCTGTGTGGAGCTTGTATGTTCTCCCTGTGTTGAAGAGGGTTTCCTAGAGGTGCTCTGGTTTCCTCCCACAGTCCATATACATACAGTACTGGTAGGTCCATTGGTCTCTGAGAAAAAACATCCCAGTTGTGAATGTGTGCATGTCTGTGTTTGTGTCTATGTACAGGATCTATCCTGAGATGGACTGGTGTCTCGTCCAGAGTCTACCCCGCCTTGTGCCTATTGCTTGCCATGTTAGACTCTAGCTCCCCTATGACTTGTACTGGATGATGTTATTAGAAAAGGAATGGATGGATTTCTTTCTTGTTAAATCAAATAAGTGTTGTATAAGATATAAAGGAGACAGGGTTAAGAAGAATGTTTTACACAATGACATCAGGGCCACTAACCTAAAAAAAATATCACAGTGTTTTAGTTGAATATTCAAAATCCAATTTCTAACGTCTACACGTGGATCTTCGTTCATTCAACCTTTCTAATTTTCTTATACTTTCTAATTTTCTTATTCTATTTCCAAGTTGATCCTCGTCATGTTTTCAAATAAAAAAAAACTATGTATACCCACATCATCAACAGCAGGAAGGAGAGGTGGGGGGAGAAAGAAGCGCAGGTCAACATCTTTTGTGCGAGCTAAACCGATTGCTGTTCGGTGATCACTGGCCTGGGCGACGGTTCTGTACTGGTAATCTGAAAGATACACAATATATATAAAATGACAATAGAGTTAAATAAGTCTAATGTTTGCCATGCTTGGGGAAGAACCCAGATGCAACTTACTAAAAGCACATTTAATCTATTGATAAGGTATTTTCAGAAATCAGGGAAACCGAAAATGTTTTTTTTTCCCAAATGTTACCAATGGGATTATCATTTTGCTCTTTCAAATGAAATAACCCACCTGGCTGGCATAACCGGGGCTGCAGGAAAGTGTGTAAGAAAATCCAAAGCACCCTCATCTCAGGATTTAGAAGGCTCAGTACAGGCCCAGTCTGTTCAATGAGGAATCAACATTCTGAGCTTTAGAGCTCTTCTGACACTCTTTGAATATGGGTGTTTCCCCTTCCATTCCTGTTTAGTTCTTTTTCCCAAGGCCAGGCTGATGTTTAATGTGCTGACAAAGGCTGATTGTTCTGGTCCACCCTGGGGTTGCCTGTCATTCTGTGAGTGAATGAAAGTTCAGCTGGGACATTAATCAGAACCCCCCTGGAATTTTTTTGTATTGTTTCACCCTCCTGTGATTGCACACCCTTTTAAGAAAAGTTTAACGGGGTCTTAATGTTTGCAAAGATTTGGTGCAGAGAAGTGTCCCAAATAGCCATATTCGCATACAGTATGTAATGAGTCCATCCTTATACCATTGCATAGTGGACTAAAGTATAGTATATACAGTAGTATGGATGGTGAAAAGACATACATAATCTTCCCTTATATGATAAAATGTACATAAGTAGGTAATATATTTAATTAAAACACTGATCAACTAAAACAACAGGAATCACAAACTTATCATCATAAACTAACGGATCTTCCCCTGCATCCAGCAGATGTCTGTACTTCATCTCTCTTTAATGAGAAGGCAATAAAGCTGTCGGCAAGCCTGTAAAGCCTGTAACTCGACTCCAGCCTGCCATTCCCCAAGCTACTGCAGCAGAACTGGGAGTTTTCATTACAGAGATGTGGATTCTGGGTAGTAGGTACTCGGGCAGGGAGAAGCTCATTCGCTAGCTAGATTCGTCTCACAATCCTAGTCAGTTGCGCAGTTCATTTCAAAGCAAGCTGCCCGTAACCTGAGGCTCAGTTTCATCAACGCTCCGCTCAAGAGCCCGTCAGCCAGACAGAAGCACAGAAGAACTTTATTTGCCAATGACACATTTGCAGACGTCGGGACACGGCTGTGCAATCCAAGGTAAAAAAACAGGAATACGACTGAGCGCATAGTGGGCTTCAAGTTATCCTGCAGCCCTTCCTGCGTACCATGCCAGTGCGAGTTCTCCGCCAGCTGCTGGACAGCCTGCAGGCGCTCGTCTCGATCAGCTGAGCGGGTTCTCTTCAGCAGCAGCCAGAGGGAGCACTCATGGGGGTCCACATCCAGCTTGCTCAGTTGTTCTTCCAATGCAAATAAGTCATTAAAAGACAGTGTTCAGTGAATTGATGCTTTTCCAAAAACATAACTGTCAGTATTCAGTATTTACATAACTGAATGCGAAAGAAAGAAAAGAGAAGGCCAGCTATTTTCACCAAAGTCTTTCAAGGGTTTTCAGCTAGCCTGGGTATTGAGTGGTTTGGCGCTTGAGATACAGATCTGGCTATAACCTGCTCAGCTGAGTAAAAGGCAGCTGCTGCATAACAAAGCCACTGAAGCAAAGGGGCTGCTTTTTATACAAAGTTGGTGAAGGAAGCAAAGTAAAACAAATGGGAGAGAGAGTTCATTTTTACTCAACAGGGTGTGAGTCATTCTGGTATTCCAGTAAGAAACTCCATTAAAAATAGAATACTGCTATCAGCATATGTTTTGGAAAAGGGAAAATATTGAATAACTACTGTGTCACAGTAATGAAATTACAAATACTGTACCTTTGCACCTGTGTAGGCACAATATAAAATGTAATATGTATGGAGGGATAAATCTCCTCTGTAAAAATCACGCTGTTTTAATAATGAATAAATTGGAGCACAACAGCAAGAGTTATAAAAAATGGTCAGAATGGCACAGGAAGAGTGGAGCAGGTGTTTCCTGACATTAATCTGATCCATTAATAGCAGGGTTGGACCTTTAAGAAACCTGTACAATAGCAGACCCTCAGAACGGAAAATTGCATAGCCTAATTTTGTTAACTGTTCTGGTGCGTCTATGACAGACCAAAACTTCCTGACGACAGGAGCACTATGGGTAAGGCTATCGTAGTTTATTCAGATTCATAAGCACCGTAATATTGCTACTGTGAGGAAGTGCTGTGTTCCAATAGGAGGTTCCAGGTGCATTTTGTTTTCATTAAAAACAAACTTTTTAAAGAGTTATGACTTCCTGTAAAAAAACGTGAGCACAAAACCCAGATATGAATAGTATTAAGCCAGCAATACCAATTTGTCTCTTCCCCAACAAAGTATGTTTCTATGACATACCTATGCACTTGTCTGACTTTTTTTACAAGATTAAAAGAGAGAGCTCTTGCTTTGTTCATAGTATTCATGATAGGCACCTTTTGTCAGTTTCTGATTCAAGGTAAAATCTCAGATGAGAATTTTCAATGAGCTTTCCTATAGGAATAAGTGAAGAACAGCAATGTGCAATCTGAATACCTTCTGTTCAGTAATGTTGGAGAAGATTTCAAGCTTCCTAAAAACTCTATTTTATCAACATTTACAAGTAGGAATATGAGCATCTGCTCTTTTAAGACTTCTAAAAGAATGTCAAGACATTTATATTTGTGACACTTTCACTCCTCACATGAAAGACCCTTTTCACAGTTTTAAGCTGTTTTGCACTTTTCAGGGAACATCTCAATTGTAACATCAGGGAAACTTTCTTACCATCCAAAGGCCTCTGAAGGATCTTTGTAGATGTTTCTAGCAATCTTCTTGCTGCTCTGTGCAGCTCCTTCCTCACCTTGTACGTGATGCCTGGGGACAAGGTCATGAATATGTGAACATACAATGACAAACAATGATTAAATTATTCAATATCCTATTCTGCTACATACAATATAAAAATAATTACCATATTTTTTATTTTGATTTTTTCAGAGTGTTTTTTACACATTAAACACTAAATGAAACCAAGACAAACACTCAAGCACTGAATAACATCACACTGCTTTAAAAAGAAACTGCTTACTCAGTACATCCTTGCCAACACTAAAGTGCACCATTTATAAGACAGCTCTTGTACTGTACATTGCATTACTGTACTGAATACTGTGGAAAAATAATGTTATATAAGACTTTTCCAAAGAGACTGGAAAAAGCTCTATTAAATAATGCAGAAACACAATGGGTAATGCATTAGATCCCTAGAAAGGTCTATAACTATACTGATACATCCAGAAATGTAATACTAAACTAAAAGATTAATTATTGCCTAAATAATTAGTGTATTTTTAATTCAGTGTACCAGAGTACAATGCATTTTCTGGTGTGTTGCCTCTTGTGTGGGCCAGAAAAACAGATTGTTACTTAGAGTCTAAGTCAGCTACTAAACAAGCAGTATTGAGGTAATGTTAAAGATAATGAAACATATTTTGTTCCTTTCAAGATTGTAGATTTTGATCTGAACGTGACACAAGCTGTCACTAGCTGGTTTCAACAGATACACCACTACTTGCATTATTCGTTTTTGCTTCCTTTTAGCCCTGTTCACAACAGAGCCATACTGAAAAGATAGAAACCTACCTATGTATCTATCAATATATACAGAAAGTATTATCCCTCCTGAGCAATTACAAATCTTGTAACAGCCACAATGTTTCAAACTCAAAGTAGCAAATATATTTTTATTAACAAAATATATGAAAAATGCAAAACAGGAATAACTTGTTTACTGAAATTCTCCACCCAACTGAGACAAATGAATCTCTAAAGGATTTTATTTTTTTATAATGCGTTTGAGGTTTGCCGATTTTGAACACTAATGCATGTGGCTTTGTGCATCAGCGTATACATGGGTGTCACTAGTTTGCAAAAATGTTTTGTTTTTGCTTTCCTTCATAATATGGTTACAAGGAGATCTAAACATAATACAAGTACTGTAGCTTAAGGCTGTACTATTATACTCATGCAAGCCATGCAATCCTAAACAATAGGGTCTAATCTCTTTGCTATCCTCTACATTCATATACATCACACATCAGATATAACACACTTTTCCCAAACACAGGAAAATATAGATACAGATATGAACATAAACTAAGACTTGTTTCCTATGGGAAGCCTGTGAAAAAATACTGGATGTCAAATTAAAAAAACCTAAGCTAGAAGGAACTTTTAGAAGCAGAGAAGAATTAAAATATACTTAACCAAACAGAAGAAAAGCACAGACAATAAAAAATATATCAGAACCCTCAGCCTTGCAGCAGAGAGTCAATCTTTTCACACTGCCTTTGCTTATCCTCACCAGTTAACATTCACATCTATGTTCTTGGGTTATATTCATATCCTTTCAGTGTCCATGCCTGCTTCAAATTAGTTCATATGATTTAAACTTTGGCTTGCAAGAAGATTTTGTTTTCCTATGGATTTTCTCATGGTTCACATAATACAATAAAATGGACCTGAATCTGGACCTGATATTTACCTATGACTTCTGGAGCTATCAGTCCTGGAAAGATTTTCAAGGAAATTACACTCATACTGCAACAATTTCTAAGTTTCCCTTTTGGTTTCATTAAGCTTTCTTTATGTTTTCTCTAACTTTTCTACTTTTCAAGTTCATATTCTAAAATAAACAGTCTATTAGCATGAAGAAGTAAGACTACAGATACATTTAAATAAATAGACTTTCTAGAAGAAGGACTGAAGATTGAAAGTAATGTCTGCTTTTTAAAATTTCCTGAAAAAGTAGCTCTCTGCCTGAACAGGTGCGTTCTACAGTGGCATGTGTTGATTAACTTTAACAACAAGAATAATGTCTCTGTGTTTCTCAATCATACTTTTTACCTTGAAAAACAACAGAAGTCAAATTGCATTCATTTAAGTTATCCACATGAATCATGTGTGGGTGGTTGTGTCTCAAGGGAAGGAAAGCTCCCTCTAATTTTCCTACCCTATGCTATCAGTCAGTCAAGGCCACAGTCGCAGTCTCCCCGCCAGGTCCGTCCTTCAGTGCAGATTTAGACCCAATCTTCTATTCATGCAGTCTTACTTACTAAGCAGTCTAACTACCAAAGGGGACACTTCAAGACAGCATGCCCGAGGGAACAGCTTAACTCAAAAAAGCAGACATATCCAGGACAGGAAAAGAAAACATACCAAAGGTCTCCTGCTCCTTGAAGGGGGCGGCGTTCAGATAGATATATGACTTAAGCTTCTCTTGAAGGACAGCTTGAGTATCGACAGTCACTGCTTTGTTCAAAGCTACAACCTCATATGTGATAAAAACACAGCCACTGGAAAGGAAGACGCAGCAGCTGTTAGCAGCACACACGGACATTTGGTAACGGCAACCAAAAATCGACCACACCCATTATATTCAAATCAATTCTGTTCCAAATTTCCTGGAGTTGGATTTTGAATAATGCCTGAGCCTGATTAAGCTTTGCTTGAGAAGTCATGCTATTGATGCTGGTGAATGGAAAATCACTTGCTTCCTCTCCTCCCATGTGCAAGGTGCAAGCCCAGTAAGAAACAGACCTTACCCTAAAATAACAGCCCCGGACAACTTCATCATTTTCCCTAAGATCAAAAAGAGAGATGCATTATTCACCTCCTCAGTATTAAAGTGTAAAACTAAATTTATCAATGTCTAAAACAGGTTTAAATGTTTTTTTCTTCAGATAAACCATGATCCGTCAAGCATCACACGCTTTCTATTCTTTACTTGAATGCATACTGTAACTAAAATGTGCAGTAAAAAGATCGATTGGCCCAATCGAATTGCACTTGGAAAAAAGACACTGAAAATCAAGCTAAGAAGCACACAGTAAATATACTATGTAATGTAATTGCTGAATGATGGTGAAATAATATCATGCCAATGTCACTCAAAGGTATTTACTGTGGGTTTTAACTGTTTTATCAGTGTGTTCAATCTTCACTTATGTCAAAATAATAAAAGGATATACAGTAAATATATAATTATGTGTAAGTCATCACTTTCTTATCTACATAGTGTAATTTTCATCTTTATCCAAACTGTTGAGTGAACTATTAAGTCTTAAACACTTAATCACAGCATTAGGTTCATGTACATGGTGTGGCTGAGAAGCAAGCAACACTGGATTCCACTTCAAAAAAAGAAATTCCACACCAAATGAATGCCAGCAGAGATGAGAAAATGGACAACCAAAAATGTAGACAAATTGAGAATGTGCATGTCTAGGTGTCGTTTAGTTCCGTTTCATCTTCTTCAGGGAATCATATTCTGTGTTACTTGCTCAGACAGTTAATTCATTTCCCAGGAGGGGGCCCTAGTAGTTTGGCCAGTGATTTTATTTGTTTCATTGGCAAAACCCATACGGTCCTGTAACAACATTTTTCCTCAATTAACATTGCTTATTTTGGGGAGGGAGATTCAAATCTATTTTTTTAAAACAATAAAGTACTTATATAAAACTATGTTTTCTATAAAACTACTGTTGCCAAACAATATAGAAAGGAGTTTTAACTGTGGTACGTCTAAACACAGTTACCTGCAATATAAGTAAGGGGTGAAATATAAAGCTTTATGGCACACCAAAAAAGACAACATAGCATTGGAGCCCTTTGATTCATAAGCTAGTACATACAGTAGTAGTATATTTTTCAGTCCCTAACAGTTCCCATGATTAGTCTTGACCAAGTGTATTTGCTTCACTACGCAAGCACGTCTCTTCGGACTGAGTGTGACAGACCTGTGAGTGAGAATAGAGGGTTGTTGTCTGCATACAGTATCAATCAATACAATCAATAGTAAACTCATTAATGGATACTTCTTTTGAAAATGTCATTCTTGCCTTTAAGACTATTGAATCCTTAGACACCAGTAAGGCATTCATGGGCAGTACAGGCAATGAGGGCTAGGATCTGATAATCTTGGGGCCTCCTGAGATACAAAAAATACCTTTTGGAATTCTTGATGCTAGACTGTATAAAGATGAATAAATAATATTAAAGGTTAGACAAGCTATTCATCAATAAGCACCTTATTCAGGAAGTAACCCTGCAGTAAGGCCTTTTCTTCATCTGAGGTCATGTGGCGAGGTAAGTATTTCACTGCCTTGCAGAAATAAAGGACATTGAGTGCAGGCAAAGGGTTGATTCTTGTACAGAAAAGAGTATATGGTACAAGTGTTCAGTTTCAGCCACCCTTAGAATATATATTTCACTGAATCAACCACAAGTACACTCCACTTTCTTAGGCCAAGTTAATTAAGTGGAATGAATACTCATGAAACATGTTAAGTAAGTGTAATTCATATTAGAAAGGGGAGATATAATAGACTACTTACAGATATCCTTCCACAGCCAAAGTCTCTTCACTCTGGGTGTAGAAGTGCTCATTTTCCGAGAACAAATCATACAGTAGGCTGAGACAGACATCCTCTGAATACACAATATGTATAAGTAACAAGTAACCTGAAATAAAACATTTAATACATTACTTAACATATTAGCATTTGAAAGAATTACAGTGTTCAGTGGCTGAAATGGGATAAAATAGCTAATATGCCATCTCTTCACAATGGGTACTTGTACTGAACTAATCTCAAATCAACATGGGATACTGCAAACATGTGACAAAAGGTACTGTAGTCAAACAAGACAAAACTGGAATTTTTTTGGTCTATCAGACAGAAACTCAACACAATGCAACTGCTGCCAAACATAATGGTTGCAGTATTATGTGATACAGGGATGTAAAAAAGAAAGTACACAGATTCTATGGTTTAAAGTAGTAAGACATATCTGACCTTCACCTACTGTAGTCATCACCAGGTCCTAAAAGTTGATAAATCTAACCTAATGAGACAAATGACACACTCACTTTTTACTTTGTCATCAATTATTTAACAAAAAAAATCAGCCAACATTCAGAAGCTTTGTGTGAAAACATAAGTGCACCCTCTCTGCTTCATTATCAGTTAAGAAGGCAATTAGAATCAGGTGCTGCTAAACAAGTGCACATGATTAGTTGATCAGCAGGAAGTGCTTCCAACCTGTATATGAAATCAGAAACTGCCAGTTTGGTCTGAAGCATTCAAAATTGTGGTAACACATCACACCTAGGTCAAAAGATATCTGTGACAGTCTCAGAGAAAGAATTGTTTTGCTGCTCAACAGTCAGGGAAGGGTTATAAAGCCATTTCCAAACAATGTGAAGTCCATCATTCCACACTGAGAAAGATAATTTATAAATGGAGAAAGTTCAAAATAGTTGCCAATCTACCCAAGAGTTCAAATTCACCCCAAAATCAGACTGTATGAAGCTCCTACTGTATGATGCTTCAAAGATCTCCGAAGCTACGTGCAGGGATATACAGGCCTCTGTCGATATGGTAAATAATAGAGTTCACAATTCTATCATTAGGAAAAGACTGGCTTTAGTGGAAGGATAGCCAGGAGAAAACCTTTCTTCAAAAAGAACACTGTTCCAAGACTTAGGTTAGCAAAACAGCACCTGAGTGAACCACAAGACGTCAGGAAAAATGTCCTCTAGGCAAATGAGACCAAAGTGGAGTTGTTTAGCTTGTTTAGTTGTGTCTCGTAAAATGACACGTATGGCAAAACCCCAAAACTGCACATCACCACAAGAACCTCATACCAAATGTCAAGCATGGAGGTGGAGGGGTAATAATTTGGGTTGCTTTGCAGCTCAGGACATGGATGCCTCACAACCATTGAGTCCACCATAAATTCCTCTTTATACCAGTGCATTCAAGAGAAAAATTTGAGATCATCTGTTCAACAGCTAAGGTTTAGCCGAAAATGGATCATACAACAGGTCAATAATCCAAAGCACACAAGTAAACCTATAACCTAATGTCTGAGAAACATAAAGAATTAGGATTTTGGAATGGCCAAATCAATGTCCAGACCTCAACCGCATTGAGTTACTGTGGTGGGGCCTAAACAGAGCTGTGCATAAACAAATGGCCTCAAACATCGCCGAGCTGAAGCAGTTTTGTAAGGAGAAGTGGGCCAGAATTCCTCCCAGGTGAGGTTAGAGACTGGAAATGTTTACTTCAGGTTATTGCTGCTAAAGGGGATTCCACATATTACTGAATCACAGGGTGCACCACTGATTTTTGTGTAAAATTATTGTGCATTATCTGTCACTTGAGGTTAGATTTCTCTACTGGTAGGACTTGGTGAGGACTAGGGGAAGGTCAGATAAGTCTTAATATATAAACCCATAGAATCGTTAGAGGGCGTACTTTCGTTTTCACATCACTGTAGTTCTTCTTCTCATTAGAAGTGACTGGGAAGCTTGTTAAGACTGAGTGGAACAAACCGGCTTCGTACCTAAAACTGGGATGTAAATTCCCTCTTTAGCAGGATGGCCACATCTACAGTATACTGTAGTGGCTTAGAAATAAAAGTGAATGTCCCTGAGTGGCTCAGTCTAAGTCCTAACTTGGGTCCTGTTGAGAATCAGAGGAAAGGACTTGAAAACTGCTGTTGATAAGTGATGCCCACAGAGCTTTAAAGAGCTTAAGCAAATATAACAAGGAGTAATTACACCAAATCTGTGTAAAATCCTGGAGAGATTTACCCAAAAAGATATGCACCTGTAACTGTTGCCACAGGTGCTTCTAACCAATATTGAGTTCACTAGTCTGAATACTTATGTAAAGAACAAAATTCATTTTTTTCCTCTATAGTTTTCATTGACATGTACTCTTGATTTGCCCTTAGAAGACTTCAGTTTGAGCATTCAGGTTTAAGCTTTAAAAAAGTCAGGATTAAGTCTAAAATTTGTGCATGCATAATTTTGTAATTTCACAAAAGGGGACCCCATAGAAAAGGTTTGAAAACATTTGCATGTTGCTGTTTTTATCACAAAAATGAAAAGCAAATAAGAACTATCAAGGCTGTATCTATGCTTGATGTGTTATATTACATGCTACACAGCTCTTGATACATTTCGCTACAGCAAACACAGTAGCTTATGAAAAATCAGATACCTAAAATTACTGGTGTGGTGAGGGGGGGGAAGGCATGGCGCAGGGACAGAAAAAAAGCAGAAAAGTAAAAATAATGAGATCAGCTACGTGCAATACTTAATGTATGTTTGTGAATAAATGCCTACATTTAACTGGAATTCATTCAGTGAAAAACGAGACCAAAGGCAACGATAATGTATATAAACTGGGAACAGGTTGCTACAGTACTTGCTTAAAAAACGTTTTCGAGAGGCGTACCTCTACATCCAGTAGACTCAAATTCAAACAACTTCTGCATCTAGTGGTTTTTTTCACCGCGATTCTATTCTTATGCGAAAAGGGGAACTGAAAAAATAAAGCTCATAGCTCTCACATTGTGAATATGTACATTCTTTCTTTCTTGACCAATTTGGATTCCGGGATGTTACACAAAGTTTACATTTACAAAACCTGACAAATCTGTGTTTACACGCAGTACAGCTGCTGGATTAATGACACTTCTGGCGAGCCAAATACTCTGTGCAAACTTATGAAAAACTAATAATTGGAATTATCTTTGAATACTACTGATAACATTTTACACGTTTGCCCGTGCAAAAAAGAAGGCTAGCTATTTTAAAACGTCTTTACTGTATTTCATAACAGCTCAAATGCCCTGAAAGCAACGCCAGTTAACTTGTAACATTTGTAGCTTAAAGATAAATACGTGTCGTAACATAACTACTGGCAAACATCAAAGCTTACAACTGCAGCATTAATCATCTCAATAATCACTCCTCTAATTATTCGAGTTTGAATGTTCAGAAGCCTTTTTAATTTTTTTTGCAGCCAGCTTTAGCATTTCCACATCGCTTACCTCCTACTGCCTGTAATGTCCACTCTTCGCCAACGTTGGCGTCACGTGTCGCAGAAAATCTACGTCATCGCCTACCGTAAACCTTTATATTTTGAATTAATTTACCGTAAGTTTAGAAATATCAGCACAACTTTTGAGCAGTTGGTAGTTTTTTGTTTTAATTCCATGATGTGCTCAAGTAAATCCGACGTATGAGTGTTTATCACCTAAAATCTTTTTTTTTCCTTTTCTTTTTTTTTAATTAGTTGAAAATACGAATTATGTAATTTTTGGAAAAGAAAACCATGACACCAAACCTGCCTGTACCTAACTCTTACAATAATAACCTGAAGCAGTGGTTCCCAGATGTGGGGTTGTGGAGTATTGGAGTGAAAGGCCTACAGAGAAATCCAGATTGTTGCTGCAAGCAGTGTTGGTAGACCAATAGGTTGCTACTGGTCTACCAAAATCCTCTGGTCCTCAATTTCCAAACTAGTGCAGCAGTACAGTATGTTGATCATTATTACTGTGTTGAAAGAGGTTCTATTCTTTCAACGAAGCATTAAAAAGGAACCCTGATTACTCTGTCATTAAAGATCCCATGGCAGATTTTAAAAGAGTAGGTGTCCCTGTGTCCTGTCTGAGCTCAACTCTGGACTTACACAAGTTGACTTTCCAAAACTTCTCTTAAGTCAATTGGTAAATCCATCACTGCACAGCTACACTCCAGAAGGGAGTCCCAATCTGTGTGTAGTGCTCTGGGAATCTTTTGGATGAAAAGTGCAAAAAACACGTAAAAAATATATTTTTTAAATTGAACACCTATTAAGAACTGTTTAGTCAAAAATAAAGGAGCAAACTCTTAATAAATGTTGACAAGAAAATGTTTAAAACTATATCAGATGAAGTTATTGTAATAATATACTTATAGTAGAGGCTTTTTGAAACAAATGTCAGAACAAGCAAGTAGATCAAGTACATAGTGGTGGCTCTGTGGCTAAGGATCTGTGCCTGTGACTGGAAGGTTACTGGTTCACATCCTGCAGCTGGCAGAGGAATCCTACTCTGTTGGGCCCCTGAGCAAGGCCCTTAACCCCAACTGCTCCAGGGGTGCTGTACAATGACCCTGTGCTCTGACCCCAAGCTTCTCTCTGTGTCTGTGTCTCATGGAGAACAAGCTGGGGTATGTGAAAAGATGAATTCCTAATGTAAGGAATTGTATAGGGCTATAAAGCAACATTATTATCAATATATTAGTTTTGCTGATGACCAGTTCAGCTGGAACAACAACCAGCAAATAAAGAGCAGCATTATCTTAATCCACTTTAGGCACCTACTGTATGTTTCTATAGAGAATTGAAACCTATGGATAGAAATGTAAAGATAATTTTTAGGTTAAAGGAGGCATGAAATCTCATCCCTTAAAGCAGTCTTGTTCTTCAAATTTCCCATTGGCATAGGCAATTGTATTCATAAATACAGATGGTATCTGGGATGTATAATTCATCCTTTTGATTTATAAGTAGCACATAACTATCATCCATCCACCCATTTTCTAACCACTACATCTTTAGAGTCGCAGAAGACCTGTTTGATTCCTAAGATGGTTCTGAATCAGTCATTGAGCGAGATACTGTAGGTTGCTTTGTTGCTGCTTTGTTGCTGTTTGAAAAAAGGGCTAATCTTGTTCAAACACCTGGATAAAACCTTGAAAGTTAGAATAGAAAAATATTAAATCAGTGCTCCCAACCATTATAACTTGTTAAAATCATAAAACTAAATTTGACTAAATATAGATGCTTTAGCAATGCTGTTGTGGTTTATCTAAGAGGCAGTCTGACAAAGAAAAGAAAATCTAGTGTAGGCTATGTTGGTGTAGATTCTGTAAAATAGTACATAATAACATGACATTGTAGTAAAATTTGTGTCAAAACTAGTTTACTGTACTGTATATAATAAAGTACTTTGGTGTTACTTATTACCTTTTATTATTTTGAGATTAATTTTTCCTGGCCAAATTTCCCATTGGACTTTACCAATCATGGCCTCCTAATAATCCCCGTCTATGAATTGGCTACATTACTCTGTTCTCCTCCCCATTAATAGCTGATGTGTGATGAGCGTTCTGCCGCACTATGGCTTCCATCGCATCATCCAGGTGGGGCTGCACATTGGTGGTGGTGGAGGGGATTCCCATTACCTGTAAAGTGCTTTGAGTGGAGTGTGCAGAAAAGCGCTATATAAGTGTAAGCAATTATTATTAATAATTATTAAAACAAAAATAGTGAAAGTGCACCAGCATTTCAAATGTGTGAATTTAAACTAAGAGGACAGAGTCTGATGTGGTTATTTAACATACATTTGGACCTTTTCATGGGCATGTTTATGCAATAGAGAAAGCACTGGGAATAACACTTGAACGTCACTCCAATATATCTAAAATATGAATCCATCCACAAATATCAAATTCCAGACACATCCCTTGTTAGAAACGTTCTTTTTTCCAAAGGCTTCTTGTGTGTATCTATTTAATCAGCTTGAAGCTTGGAGTGGGCTTTAATTTAATCTCGGCTTTATTCTTGGATCTCTTGCTTTTGAAACATCTTTACTTGGAACAATTAAGTTTTACTCCTTATCTTATTTTTAAAATAACCAATCTGAAAATGCAATCTCTTTACTGTAAAGCCAAATCAAATTCTACCCAAATTACACAGTGAGCAGATAATGGTTAGAATAATTTGTTAATTCATAAACTTCAATCTATCTAGAGTCATGTTACGGTAGTACAACTGCACCGTTTTGGAAAAGGTTGTTATGAAGTGAATCTACAACATTTCCATCTTCAAAGCAAGGGAATTTGCTGAGATGTAGGTGTCCCAGATTCAGTGAGCAAAGCAGTTGCAAAATTTACCTTTGTACACCTTAGTTAAATAGATTCTGGGTAAATGTCAATCAACAGTCCAGGAACAGGGAACAACAGGGAATAGAGATACAGATAGAGAGAGTGAAGAAGACAGGGTAAAGGAAGGAGAAAAACAAAGATATTGAAGGCAAGAGCTCCTTGTTCAGATCATCCTGAAAGACCAGATTGGAGCTAAGTATTTATTTTTAAGTGTCCCTGTTAAGAGAGCTTGTTATTTTGTTGTTGTTAGGAACTTTGTTTTCATGTGTAAAGAATCCCTTGGTTAAAAACAGCCTCCCCTGGTTATTGGGTGTATTTTTAGAATAGGGACATAGTTTCCCATTCATTTTGTGATATCTGAGTTTACAAAGAGAGATTGAACCGCAGATCATATTCTGTTTAGTTTAGAAGGCAGCTTATCTCTTTTTTGGACCTCTGTAGGTATTATTGAAGAGTCAAGTACTTGGTAGCAGTCTGGGGTTTTTCTGGGTGGTTAGGATGTTAGACCTCTGGGATGCCTCATTGGGAAGTTTATACATAGTGTAAAGTCTGTGTTTTACACAGAATATGCTTATAAACTTGTATATACGCCAGTGTGTAGTTTATCGATTGTATTATCATTATTAATAGACATGTGTTTTACCCAGTGGAACAAATAACTCATGCGCCTCTAACCATACCAAATGCTCGGGTATATTATTGGCAAAAAAATCATATATATACAATTTGGGGATTGAGATAATTTAATTTAAGTATTGATTAATCCACCTTTTCACTTCTTGATATTACTCTACTTTCATAGCCCACTATGTGTAACAATATACTGTTTTGAAGCCCAGTACCCAGTCTTTCTTTAATTCATTATGTGTGCAAAGTGAGGCAACATACAGTATAGCCCTTTGGTATACAAATCATTACAGAAAGTGTATTATTATGTATTCTTGAGAAAGAAGTAAAGTTCCATGCTAAGTCACTGAAGCTGAGCAGTTGGATTGATTGCATTTTTGGAGCAATAAGATACAAGTAATGAAAAGAAAGGCAAAAATTGTCTCAGCTTATTGATACTTTACTGTGACTGGAAAAAATAAAAAATAGCAAATATACTGTACTTAATCTATAATTCACTCAAATTTGGGATTCACACTGCACTTTCATTGTGTTATCCAGGACTAATAAAGAATGTATGGATCCAGTGGCCTGCAAAGAGTTGCAAAGAGCTGCAAAGAGTCATCAGCTTTTTATTACAAAAATATTACAAAGACCTAAATACTTTCAATAATAAACCCACATATTTATCTCCTCCAAAAGACACACCCCAAGTACATAGCACTTGACCTTTAACAATGTGTTCCTGTACAATAAGATCTAGGACATACTTTCCGATGTAATTGAATACTTTCAGTCAATGTGACAGGTTGAATTAAGTTAAATAAAGTCTGCACTTCTGTTGGATGGAAACCAATCAAAACACTTTAATTCTAGAGATAACCTGTTTTTCTTTCATCACTGATATCCCATACATTTAAAATAAAAATAAAATATTAATATATTGAAACAGCTGAACACTGCCATTTTTTTCCCTTTAAGCTCAGATGCACACTTTCTGTGTTTTTCCACTGGAAATGGAACATTCTGAAATTTCTACAGATTATGAACTAATTCTTAGCTTTCTCAAAGAGTGCTGATTTTAAAGTTATTAATGGTCTGGCTGGAATCCAGATATGTTATGTGTGTTATGTCTAGGTTAAAAGGGTTTTTCAGATGTAGGGCCAACATTGATTGGCAGTAGGACCTTTGTTTTTGTGAAACGTGACATTACCTATTGAAACCTAGCAATATTGGGAAAGTGGTGTTCCAGATTTTTTTTTTTTTGTCAGATTGATATTTCTGAACCCACAAAAAACCAAACAGCATTGTGCTGCCTGTTATAGTATCTCAATTCGGGGATGTTGAGCACATTCTGACTCTGAAGGGCATTAACAGAAGGAAGTGGACCAGAGTCAGGTCTGTTACAGCTTGTCGAAGAAAATAAGATGTCGTCACGAGACTAGAACCACCTCAGACAAAACATGCACACACAATACTCAAATCATATCCCGTAATCAAAACAAAAACCCTTGAACCAATCAAAGTGTCCAGCAGTTATTGACTTTTTCCTTACAAGCCCCAATTTTTAGACTGATGGATTGCTGTTTTTAAGCAGCTGTATCCAAGTGGAAAACCATAGTCACGGCTCTGTTTGCCACAGCGTCTCAAGTGCAAGTCTCTTGGAAGGCCCGTATCACACTCTCGTAAGCCGGCGGGGGGGTCTGAGTGGCGTGAAACCCGCGCAGACTGCTGCTGCACCAGAAGGAGTCTGGCCGGGCCGGGGTAGCAACATTTGAGCCGGAGCCAGAGCCCGCCGTGCTTCGCGGTAGCGTGGTCTGACTGCCCTCTTCGGCCTCACGCGCGATTTGGCTGCACTGCAACAGCGGGTGGAAAGTGGAGGCCCGGAAGCTGGGTTTGCGCCCCAGGGGGTCGGGCTGCTCCAGTGAGGCCTGCCGGTGAAAGGTGAAGGCCGCGCTGGCGAGGCTGTTGTTGCTGCGCCGGTCGTAGCTGCTGTTGCGGTAGAAGCCGGAGCGGCTGTGCGAGGGAGCGCGGGACTGCCGTGGGTTTCGTGTGGAGATGCTGGCTGAGGCCCTGCGCCTGGACATCCATGTCAGGAGGACCCACACCAAAGAGCCGATCAGCAGGCCCACCACCATCGACAGGCAGAAAGCCAATATCAAATTATCTGTGGACAGAAAAGCAGGAAACATCATTACTGGCAGAAACAGAGTCTCACTAGTATGGGTCTCATAAAACATAACATAACATGTAAAATACCACAAAATCTAATCTAATATTTTATCGGTATTGTCCCGCTTTTTTATTGCTTACCGCTTTCGTTCTTGCAACCCATTTTTTCCAGACCAAACTACTATTTATCTGAGAAGGTGCCTTGGAGCAAAGAAGTTGGAAGCTGAGTTGAAGATTCAAAACAATGTACAGTGTATTTTCTGAAGTACCCCTCTGTTTTGATTACACTGTGGATTTAACGTTTTTTACATTGATTCACTACCACCAATACAACATATTTTGCGATATAACAGTGGGAATGGTGCAGGTATGTACTACAGTTTAAGTATAACTGCCCAGGTGGTTAAAAAAGTGGTTACATTTTCTTGTTGAGAAGTTCCTGGACCATGTTAGGAGTAAAGACCTCTGACTCTGACCTGAGGTTATTACTCCTGACCTGACTTGTGGGAATTTTAAACAGGCACCTGCTGTTGTCTGAGACACCTCAGGAATAGCTGCGAGACCAGGATGACATTATGAGAAACCACCATTATCAGACCACAAGTAGAATGGTCACTCATAAAACCCCATTCAAAGTATTAAAGTAAGGTGAACATTGCTGGACTCAGACTATAAAACCCTCTGTAACACTGTTGCAATTTGGGGCACTGTGGGTAATACACCTTGTGTGTCTCCTTGGTGTTCTCTGGAACAAGCCATTTTTGTCACAAACTCATCTCAAACCTTGAATGCACTGCACTGAATGCCCCCGTCCTGATTTCTTATTTTTTTGCATGTTTGTCACACTGAAATGTTTCAGATCATCAAACAAATTGAAATATTAGACAAAGATAACAGAAGTTAACACAAAATGCAGTTTTTAAATGAAGGTTTTTACTAAGGGAAAAAAAATCCAAACCTACATGGCCCTGTGTGAAAAAGTGATTGCCCCCCCTGTTAAAACA